TTCAGCTTTCTACTTATGGCTAGCCAATTTCAGCACCATTTTATTAAATGAGAATCCTTTCCCCATTTTCTTGTTCTCTCAGGTTTGTCAAGATCAGATGGCTGTAGATGTGAGTATTGACTACAGGGACTCTGTTCTGTTCCATTGGTCTATATCTCTGTTTTGGTACCAGTACCATGCTGTTTTAGTTATGGCCTTGTGAAGTATGGATTTGAAGTCAGGTAGCGTGATGCACTCCAGCTTTGTTCTTTTGACTTAGGATTGTCTCTTGGAATCACAGCGGGCTCTTTTTTGGTTCCATATGAACTTTACGCAGTTTTTCCAATTCTGTGAAGAAACTCATTTGGTAGCTTGATGGGGATGGCATTGAATCTATAGAGTGTGGGCAGTATGGCCATTTCGATATTGATTCTTCCTATCCATGAGCATGGTATGTTCTTCCATTTGTTTGTGTCCTCTTTGATTTCACTGAGCAGTGGTTTGTAGTTCTCCTTGAAGAGAGGTCCTTTACATCCCTTGTAAGTTGGATTCCTAGGTATTTTATTCTCTTGGAAGCAATTGTGAATGGAAGTTCATTCCTGATTTGGCTCTCTGTTTGACTGTCACTGGTGTATAAGAATGCTTGCGATTTTGCACATTAATTTTGTATCCTAGGCACTGCTGAAGTTGCTGATCAGCTTAAGGAGATTTTGGGCTGAGACAATGGGGTTTTCTAAATATACAATCATGTCGTCTGCAAGCAGGGACAATTTGACTTCTTCTTTTCCTAACTGAATCCCCTTGATTTCTTTCTCTTTGCCTGATTACTAGCCAGAACTTCCCAACACTATGTTGAATAGGAGTGGTGAGAGAGGGCATCCCTGTCTTGTGCCAGTTTTCAAGGGAATTTTTCCAGTTTTTGCCCATTCAGTATAAATGTGGCTGTGGGTTTTATCATAAATAGCTCTTATTATTTTGAGGTACGTTCCATCAATGCAGCGAGATTTATTGAGCGTTTTTAGCATGAAGGGCTGTTGAATTTTGTCAGAAGCCTTTTCTGCATCTATTGAGATAATGATGTGGTTCTTGTCTTTGGTTCTGTTTATATGCTGGATTATGTTTATTGATTTGTGAATGTTGAACCAGCCTTGCATCCCAGGGATGAAGTCCACTTGATCATGGTGGATAAGCTTTTGATGTGCTGCTGAATCCGGTTTGCCAGTATTTTGTGAAGTTTTTGCATCGATGTTCATCCAGGGATATTGAGTCTAAAATTCTCTTTTTTTTAATGTCTCTGCCAGGCTTTGGTATCAGGATGATGTTGGCCTCATAAAATGAGTTAAGGGAGGATTCCCTCTTTTTCTATTGATTGGAATAGTTTCAGAGGGAATGGTGCAGCTCCTCCTTGTACCTCTGGTAGAATTCAGCTGTGAATCCATCTGAGGTCCTGGACTTTTTGGGTTGGTAGGCCTGTTAATTATTGCCTCAATTTCAGAGCCTACTATTGGTCTATTCAAGGGGATTCAACTTCTTCCTGGTTTAGTCTTGGAAGAGTGTAAGTGTCAGGAAATTATCCATTTCTTCTAGATTTTCCAGTTTATTTGCATAGGGGTGTTTATAGTATTCTCTGATGGTAGTTTGTATTTCTGTAGAATTCGGTGGTGATATCCCTTTATCATTTTTAATTGCGTCGATTTGATTCTTCTCTCTTTTTCTTCTTTATTAGTCTTGCTAGTGGTCTGTCAATTTTGTTGATCTTTTCAAAAAACCAACTCCTGGATTCATTGGTTTTTTGGAGGGTTTTTGTGTCTCTATCTCCTTCAGTTCTGCTCTGATCTTAATTATTTCTTGCCTTCTGCTAGCTTTCGAATGTGTTTGCTCTTGCTTCTCTAGTTCTTTTAATTGCGATGTTAAAGTGTCAATTTTAGATCTTTCCTGCTTTCTCTTGTGGGCATTTAGTGCTATAAATTTCCCTCTACACACTGCTTTAAATGTGTCCCAGAGATTCTGGTATGTTGTATCTTTATTCTCATTGGTTCCAAAGAACATCTTTATTTCTGCCTTCATTTCGTTATGTACCCAGTAGTCATTCAGGAGCAGGTTGTTCATTTTCCATGTAGTTGAGCGGTTTTGATTGAGTTTCTTAGTCCTGAGTTCTAATTTGAAAGTTGCACTGTAGTCTGAGAGAGACAGTTTGTTATAATTTCTGTTCTTGTACATTTGCTGAGGTGTGCTTTACTTCCAATTACGTGGTCAATTTTGGAGTAAATACGATGTGGTGCTGAGAAGAATGTATATTCTGTTGATTTGGGGTGGAAGTTCTATAAAGATGTCTATTAGGTCTGCTTTGCTGCAGAGATGAGTTCAATTCCTGAATTATCCTTGTTTAACTTTCTGTCTCGTTGATCTGACTCTAATGTTGACTTGGTGAGTGTTGAAATCTCCCATTATTATTGTATGGGAGTCTAAGTCTCTTTGTAAGTCTCAAGGACTTGCTTTATGAATCTGGGTGCTCCTGTATTGGGTGCATATATATTTAGGATAATTAGCTCTTCCTGTTGAATTGATCCTTTTACCATTATGTAATGTCCTTCTTTGTCTCTTTTGATCTTTGATGGTTTTAAGTCTCTGTTTTCATCAGAGACTAGTATTGCAGCCCCCGCTTTTTTTGTTCTCCATTTGCTTGGTAAATCTTCCTCCATCCCTTTATTTTGAGCCTATGTATGTCTCTGCGTGAGATGGGTCTCCTAGACACAGCAGACTGATGAATCTTTACTCTTTATCAGTTTGCCAGTCTGTGTCTTTTAATTGGAGCATTTAGTCCATTTACATTTAAGGTTAAGATTATTTATGTGTAGACTTGATCCTGCCATTATGATATTAACTGGTTATTTTCCTCGTTAGTTGATGCAGTTTCTTCCTAGCCTTGATGGTCTTTACATTTTGGCATGTTTTTGCAATGGCTGGTGCCGTTTGTTCCTTTCCATGTTTAGTGCTTCCTTCAGGGTCTCTTGTAAGGCAGGCCTAGTGGTGACAAATCTCTAAGCATTTGCTTATCTGTAAAGGATTTTATTTCTCCTTCACTTATGAAACTTAGTTTGGCTGGATATAAAATTCTGGGTTGAAAATTCTTTCTTTAAGAATGTTGAATATTGGCCCCCACTCTCTTCTGGCTTGAAGAGTTTCTGCCGAGAAATCTGCTGTTAGTCTGATGGGCTTCCCTTTGTGGGTAACCCGACCTTTCTCTCTGGCTGCCCTTAAGATTTTCCTTCATTTCAACTTTGGTAAATCTGGCAATTGTGTGTGTCTTGGGTTGCTCTTCTGGGAGTATGTTTGTGGCGTTCTCTGTATTTCCTGGGTTTGAATGTTGGCCTGCCCTACTAGGTTGGGGAAGTTCTCCTGGATGATATCCTGAAGGTGTTTTCCAACTTGGTTCCATTTTCCCCGTCACTTTCAGAACTTACCCCAATCAGATGTAGATTTGGTCTTTTTACATAATCCCATACTTCTTGCAGGCTTTGTTCATTTCTTTTTCTTCTTTTTTCTTTTGGTTTCTTTCACTTCATTTCATTCATTTGATCCTCATCGCTGACATTCTTTCTTCCAGTTGATCGAGTCGGTTACTGAAGCTTGTGCATTTATCACGTATTTCTAGAGTCACCATGGTTTTAAGTCTCTTTCATTTCGTTTGTAGGCTTCTCTGCATTAATTACTCTAGTCATCAATTCTTCCACTTTTTTTCAAGATTTTTAGTTTCTTTGCGCTGGGTCCGTAATTCCTCCTTTAGCTCTGAGAAATTTGATGGACTGGAGGCCTTCTTCTCTCATGTCGTCAAGTCATTCTCCGTCCAGCTTTGATCTGTTGCTGGCGATGAGCTGCGCTCCTTTGCAGCGGGAGATGCGCTCTTATTTTTTGAATTTCCAGCTTTTCTGCCCTGCTTTTCCCCATCTTTGTGGTTTTATCTGCCTCTGGTCTTTGATGATGGTGATGTACTGATGGGGTTTTGGTGTAGTGTCCTTCCTGTTTGATAGCTTTCCTTCTAACAGTCAGGATCCTCAGCTGTAGGTTGTAGCTGTAGGAGATTGCTTGAGGTCCACTCCAGACCCTGTTTGCCTGGGTATCAGCAGCAGAGGCTGCAGAGATAGAATATTTCTGAACGGTGTACCTGTCTGATTCTTGCTGGAGAGGCTTCCTCTCAGGGGGTGTGCTCACCATAGCCGGGAGTGGCAAGTCGAACTACCGTCGAAGATATCTCAATTCGCTTCTCAAGTCAAGACCCATAAACAAAGGAAATCTACCTTCTCAGATCTCAACCTCCGTGTTGGGAGATCCACTGCTCTCTTAAGCTGTCAGACAGGAGTGGACTGCGTCTGCCAGAGCTGCTCGTTTATTGTTTACTGTGCCCTGTCCCCAGAGGTGGGTCTGCAGAGGCCAGGCAGTTTAACCAGGCTTTGCTGTAGGCTCCACCCAGTTGACTTCCCAGCAGCCTGTTCTGCTTAAGCCTCCATGTGGCGGGCGCCCCTCCCACAGCCTCGCTGCTGCCTTGCCGGTAGATCACAGACTGCTGTACTTTACTTAGTAGGGGCTCCGTGGGTGTGGGACCCTCTCAGCCAGGTGTGGGATATGATCTCCTGGTGTGCCTGTTATTTGTACAAGCGCAGTTTTGGGGTGGGAGTTACCCGGTTTTCCAGGTGTTGTGTGCTCTCAGTTCCTGGCTAGGAAGAGATTCCCTTCCCCTTGCATGGCTTTTCCAGGTGAGTGATACCTCGCCTAGCCAGCTCTCGCTGGTCGGGCTGCAGCCCAGCCCCAGCCAGCACCGATCGTCTAGCACTCCCCAGTGAGATGAACCCAGTACCTCAGTTGAAAATGCAGAAATCACCGGTCTTCTGTGTGGCGTGGCTGGGAGTTGGAGACTGGAGCTGTTTCTCTGTTATTGTCTTGCTCCATCCCCAGTGTTTCTTTTTCTTATGTCTGGTACATGTTGAAGGTTACCTGCTTAGAAGTGGAGTAAGTGGCTTCAGCTGTATCTCCGCTTCTGGGGAGAGATAAGTGGATGGAAAACCTTGGCAGGACAGTTCAACCTAATAGGTAATAGTAGCTTCAGTATCCAAAAATGTATAACTTTGTAGCTTGATTAGTTAATGAGTAAGTGTGGTAGTAATACATTAAAAATTTTGTCTGCAACAAGGTTTGTCTGCAGCTTGAGAGTTTTAAAGCACATTTATATGTTACGCCATTTGTAGTAAGCCATTATTGTATTGCTATAAAGAAATATCTGAGACTGAGTAATTTATCAAGAAAAGCAGTTTAATTGGCTCACAGTTCTGCCGGCTTTATAGGAAGCATGGTGCTGTCATCTGCTCAGCCTCTAGGAAATCATCAGGAAGCTTACAGTCATGGCAGAAGGCAGACGGAGAGCAGGCATATCACATGGTGAAAGCAAGAGCAAGGCGAGAGAGACAATGTGTATGTGAGTGATTTGGGGGGAAGGTGCCACACACTTTTAAACCACCGGATCTCACAGGAACTCAGTATCAGGAAGATGGCACCAAGCCATGAGGAAACTGCCCCCATGATCCAAACACCTCCCACCAAGCCCCACCTCTAGCATTGGGGATTACAATTCAACATAAAATTTGGACAGGGACAAATATCCAAACTTTATTATCATTTTAAGCTAAAAATAGTCTTACTGCAGATATTATTGGCAAATATTATTGCCATGGTTCTACCAGCATGGATAAAAGGACTCTGAAAAGTTAGGTGAATTGGCCATGTCAGAAGCTAGTACATGATAGAAGACGGACTAGAATACGAGCTTCTTAACAATTTATCTCTTTTATTTGCAGAAATTAGGCTGGTTATATGAAAACTTACCATTACAAAATGATATTTTCTTAACCCAAGTAAATAAAATAGAATGAACTATATGTAATGAACTAATATATAGAATGAACTATATGTAATTCTTCAAGATTCTAATGCATTCTTGTTTAGAGCTTGCCGTTAACCTAAGCAATGAGATAGCAATCCCTTTCATTATTTGTTGACTCCCCTTAATAGAGTACCTAATGAACATTGCCAACTTAAGAAAAAAATGGTGTTTTTCTGCAATGTCAGCTCTGAAATTCAACTTTGTTGCTTCTTTATAGGACAATTGCAGGCGAGCTGAAAATGTTCTTCGTTTATGGATCATTGAAGCCAAGGACCTTGCCCCTAAAAAGAAATATTTCTGCGAACTGTGCCTTGATGATACCCTCTTTGCTCGTACAACCAGCAAGACCAAAGCAGACAATATTTTCTGGGGCGAACATTTTGAATTCTTCAGCCTTCCACCTCTTCATAGTATCACAGTTCACATTTACAAGGATGTGGAAAAAAAGAAAAAAAAAGACAAGAATAATTATGTAGGGCTAGTCAACATCCCCACTGCCAGTGTGACTGGTCGCCAATTTGTAGAAAAGTGGTATCCGGTGAGTACACCTACACCCAACAAAGGAAAGACAGGAGGACCTTCTATTCGGATTAAATCACGTTTCCAAACTATCACCATTCTGCCTATGGAGCAATATAAAGAATTTGCAGAATTTGTCACCAGCAACTACACCATGCTGTGTTCTGTCCTTGAGCCAGTAATTAGTGTGAGAAATAAAGAGGAGTTGGCTTGTGCCTTAGTGCACATTCTTCAAAGTACTGGCAGAGCCAAGGTAAGTAAAAAAGGGGGATTGCAGTACCTGAAATCTCTTCCCTACCTTTCATAAACCAAAATAATGGATACTGTAGAAACCCAAATTAGAGAAATGTGCTTTACTATTGGTAAAAACAAGAAGAATTAAGAAGAAAACCTATTAGATCCAGAAAAGACAAAGATTAGAAAACTAAACAAGTAAAATGGAGAGACCAACAAATACTTAAAGTCCATTTGCGTGAAACATAGATAACACAGCCAGCTCTTTCTTGTCTGACAAAATAAATAGTAGAATTGGCATGATAACCCTACAGCATGTTCAGGGTTCCTTACCTTTAATTTAGTTCTAGAGTGTTGTATGGTGGTTTTCTTCCTCACTGTATTTTGTTTAAGATTAACTGATGGCGCTATCCTCTAGACACAGAAGGAGGTATTCCAGAAGCATATTGGGTATTAGCAAGAGTCTTTGTGGGATTAAAATCTGTATTTAGAATAAAAATCCAAGGGATATTATACAATTGGTAGCTGTTTCATGATACACTTATCTTACTTCACGTTGGATAGAAGTAAAAACTCGGGAATATTTTTTTTTAAAGGAGAAATATGCTGGTTATAGGAAGAACAAAAATCAGTTGAGAGAGTCTTTGACCTATGAAGAATATTCACTTAACTAGGAAGAGTTACCATTATGCTGTATGCAAACTGATCATGATAAAATTACATCTCAGATCCAAAGAAATTCACAGCTAGAATAATGTATTTAGAACCAAACAAAATAAAGTACTATTACTATTTCTTGATATGTCAGAATATATCAATATATTCAATATTTAGTCTCTTTTCTGGCTTCTATGGATTATAACTTTTGTGTTTCAATCTCCTAATGATAATCTTGGGCATTCTGTCATTTAAAAAGCTTACGAGTTTGGAGCGAGGTGTCACTGAAATTTTGAATTGTATGGATATGTTTCTACTTTTCAGTTGCTCAAGGTTCAGAATATATGTAAGGCTTTTTTAAATAACAATATTGATTTACATACACTTTAGGTAGAATAAACACCCATTTAAAGTGGAAAAGTTCAGTAAGCTTTGACTGATTTTGCACCCATTGAAACCACCACTATGATCAAGATACAGAATGTTACCGTTACCCCCAAGAGTTTCCTCCTGTCTCTTAGCATTAAGTTTAATAGTGATTCCTAAGTCTACAACTCTGTTATACTGTCAAACTGCCCCAGAGTAAGTCCCATTGACGTTTAAAATGCTTAATTTTAAAGTAAAAGTAAATCAGCATATTCTTCCTATTTTGGCATTTGCAGCCCTTGAAATATCCAATAATTATATAGCATTCAAAATATACGATGTTATCACATTTCAAACTGAACAACCAATATTGAGCTTTACAAGAAGTTCTTTAAGACTGTTGAGGAATGAAGCAGCTGTTTCTTTGCACCTTTATTTCCCCTTATGCTGTCCTTCTGGTTGGATGGATGGGCGGGCAGACAGAAAGATAGCCTAGACAGTGACTTCAAGTGATGAGTTCAGTAGACTCTACATTGACACTGTGGACCAATTTGTAGCTATTATATATTGAACACCTAATCTATGCCAGAAGCTGTTAGGTACTGGAGATATGGTGGTAAACAAAAACAGAAACTGGTTTTCTGGGGAAAATAAATATTAATCAAGTAATTACAGAAATAAATAAGATTACAGTGAGAACTGCAGAGGATAAAAAGAGAGATGATACTATGAAATGGAGCAAGTGCAGCTCACTAATGGAGTTCAGGGGCATTGTTGGTCAGGGACGCCTTCACTGAGGAAATGATGTGTGAATTAAAATCCAAAGGATCCCAGGAATGAGCTACATGATAGTAGGAGTGAAAGCAAGGGTGGGAGCAGAGCAGAACTGAAAACAGTATTTGGGGGGGAAAAAAAAGGCTTTGTGGTAAATAGAGAACATTGTGTGTGTTAGAAAGGGCTTGGTGTATTAAAGGACCTAAAAAGAAACCAGAAAATATAGGGACTTGTAGACTACATTCAGAATTATGGCCTTTATCAAAAGTGCAATGGAAAATCTTTGAGGAAATTTTAAATGTAGGGGTAGTAACACCTAAGATTTTATCCTGATTGCTTTTTTTCCTTTCAGATGAATCTGATAGCTTTAGTTTTAAAGCAGCATTTCCAGGATGTCTGATATTTCAGCAGTCTCTTCTAATGTATATTATTTATTCAGTTGCTTTCTGCCTTATTGAACATTATTCTACCAGGATTTTCTGACTGACTTGGTGATGTCTGAGGTGGATCGTTGTGGAGAACATGATGTCTTGATCTTCAGAGAGAACACTATTGCCACCAAATCCATTGAGGAATACCTCAAGTTGGTGGGACAACAGTATCTTCATGACGCACTGGGTATGAAAGAGAAAAACATCTATTTTCTTTTCTTTACCTTTCGATTTTAAGTTATTTCACCTCCATGAGACAAATGAATTGAGCCCAAATTCTGCATGTTATTTAATTCTAGTTGACTCAGGTGTTAAGGTTTGAATCGTGGCCATAAGAAGTCTCTGCAGTACTCACCAGTGGAGAAATAACAATAAATGTAGAAACAGAAACCCTGTCAGCATACACTGCTACTCCGGGTCCCCAGCTTCATGATTCCAGGATGCACAGTAATATCAGCAGTGTCTATTGATAGATCTGAGGTGGTCTGTTTTCCCCAAAGTGTTGGGTGTTTATATGATGATGTTATTACCTAGTCTTGAGAGTGTTACCCTGACATTTGTTATCATGCATGCAAAACTCTAATCAAAAGTGAAGAAAGTCTTGCCACTTCCCACAACTCCCCCACAAATTTCTGCCTTTGAGGTTTCTAGAATTTTTAACATAACTAATTTTTGTCCAATCAGTAGCTCTTGCTGACTAGGCTACACACTTGCAGTTCCAGATTTGGTCGTGAAATTGAGGCATTAACCACTAGAGTAAGGCACTGTGCTGGTCACTTTAATATACATCCCGATAGAGCAGATGTGAGTTCCTTGAAGAAACTAGCCCTTTGTTTTACCTCCATATCCCCACTACCTGCACAGACTGTTGAGCAGCACTGTCCAATAGAAATATAATATGACCCATGTGTGAGTAATTTTATTTATTTTTATTTTTTGAGTAATTTTAAATTTTCTAGTAATCACAGTATTAAAAAGGATGAAGAGAAACAGGTGAAATTGATAACATAATTCATTTGACCCAGTATATCCAAATACTATTTAATGGCTTAAAAGAATAAAAGTTATTAATTAGGTGTTTTACATTTTTATTCTTTTTGAAAATCAGTGTGTATTTCACATGTATCACACATTTTAATTTGCATAAACCATTTCTAATGCTCAACAGCCACGTGTGACTATCAAGAGTAGAAAGTAAAAATATGTTGAATGATTGGAGAGATTTTTACCCTCAGGGAGTTTGCAATATAAGGATATAACATTAGGGATATCTCTGTACCAAAAAGAGACATTCTGTGTTCTTGCAAAGAATTTTTAAAAATTGAATCCAGCTGATAGAATTGTCAAACTTTCTGTGTGAAATGCATTTATGTTGGTATGTAGTTTGAAGAATAGAAAGGTTAAAAATAGACATTGAGCAAGAGCAGATAAGAAGATAAGAAGTAGCATGGGGAAAAGGACACATGAACAAAAAGACATAGAGGTGGAACAGAACCAGGAATGTGTGGAATAAAACCATTTAACTAGAAAAAGACATGAAAGAAACATGTGAACAATAAACAAAAAGATTAAACAATAATTAGAACCAGTTTGTGAATACCTCAAATGCCTGTGTGAAAATTTAAAGTTTACAGTAATCATTGGAGAGCCACTGAAAGTTTTGAGCAGGGTGTTTTCAGTGGAATTAACTTAGCAGACTAAGACGAGTTGCATCCAGGCATGGTGGCTCACGTCTGTAGTCCCAGCTACTTGGGAGGCCGAGGTAAGAGGATTGCTTGAGCCCAGGAGTTCGAGGCTGCAGTGAGCTATGTTCACATCACTGCCCTCCAGCCTGGGTGACAGAGAAAGACCTTGTCTTTAAAAAAAAGGTGAAGAAAGCCTACTGAAAGCCAGTCAATTAAGAAGCCATTGTAGACTGGGTGCGGTGGCTCACACTTGTAATCCCAACACTTTAGGAGGCCGAGGTAGGCGGATCACCCAAGGTCAGGAGTTCGAGACCAGCCTGGCCAACATGCTGAAACCCCATCTCTACTAAAAATACAAAAATTAGCCAGGCATGGTGGTGGGCACCTGTAATTCCAACTACTAAAGAGGCTGAGGCAGGAGAATCGCTTGAATCAGAGAGGTGGAGGTTGCCGTAAGCCAAGATTATGCCATTGCACTCCAGCCTGGGAGACAAGAGCAAAATTCCTTCTCAAAAAAAAAAAAAAAAAGCCATTGTAATAAGAAAGAATGAGACTCTGAATGAAGGTAATCATGCAAGTAAGAATAGAGAAGAAGATGGATATGAGAAATAGTAAGGTTGAACTGGTAGAACTTGGCAAATTTTTCAGTTTGTAGGAAGGAAGGAGGGAACAAATATTACAGAGAATTGTGGGGGTTTGTGAGTGACTAGGGGGATGACGAGATTCTTAACAGGGATAGAAACCACAGAAGTAGTAGGCGTGAAACAGGGGAAATTACATATATATTCAATTTGAAGTTCTAGTAGGAAATCTCAGGGGTTTTAGATAGGAAATCTAAGATACCTCTCTAGCTGGCTGTTGGAAATTTGAGACTAATTTACGCACATGGAGAGGTTAAATGAAGCTGCAAGATTACCAGAGCAGGAAGAGAACCGGGCCAAGGATAGATCTTAGAGTGCACCTGGGTTTATGGTGTAGAATGAAGAAGAGGAATCAGAGAAGTGATCAGAGAAAGAGAGAGCATCCAAAAAGAAAGAAAACAGGAAAATACTGAGTCCTAGACACCAATAGAGAAGAAAGCATCAATAGAAAATTATGGAAGGTAAAGAAAAAGAATGGATATTGCATTTGGCACTTTAAATATCACTGCTGGTCACTCACACTGGTTTCAGGAGGCGAGGAGCCAGGCTGTAAGGAATAGAGTGAGTCGCCATTCAAGAAACAGGATCAGTGTGTTTACATGAAGCAGACACATAGTAGCTACTACAATTAGTTTCTGCTCTGAAGTAGATTTTTTGTCTTTCTGTTTATCTTCGTATTTTTTCTCTAATCATATAGACATTAAGTATGGTATAAAGAGCTTAAGAAAAGTACAAAGAGGTTTATAGTGTCATTTACATAAAGAGCTTATTACAGTCATAAATTATATCTCATGATTTGCTTTAATGATTTGTGTTTTGTTATAAAAGTCCACCAAAAAACAAAAAAGCATCTCAAACCGTATTCTCCATTCTATGGAGATAGGAGTGAATATTTATTGACTACCTGCTTCTTTGAAATCAAATATTCATATTTGAAAATTCAGTCTGCTAAACAGGATTTCTGAATGAAATAATTTCCAAAACGAAAAGTGGGTACCAGTCCTTTGATAGGACAGTGAATGATTAAATGGCCGATGGGCTCAATGAGGCATGAAAATTAATTCAGTGGACATGGGAAGAAATTCAAGTAACCCCTCAGAAATCTCTGTCATAATATTTATAATCCAAGAGCAAGGGCCACAGTAGTAAAAATGGCTGCTGCTTCTAAGAGCATAAACAGAATTAATTGGTAAGTTTCTTCAGGACAGGGACTGTATTGTCTTCTCATTAAAGTTTTGCTATATTTCATATACTTTGGGCAGAAAACAGATGCTGTTTCCAGACTGCTTGAAGAATTTTCAGAGAGAATTGATTTTAAAAGGTGCCAATAATATTCTACAATATCTGTCTGCTTCTTAGCCAGTCCTTATCTTAATTAAAGCATCACTCTTTCTGCACAGACTCTGCATTGTTTAGACTTAAATCTTCCATCTGTTATCCTATTTTACCTTTCCATTTGAAATCAGATTGCACCTTGGTATCCTTTGACACACAGGAAATACTATCTGTGAGATATATAAAAGAAAGCCCTGAAAAGACCTGATTTCCACTTTTAGCAGTGGAGGCAAATTCCTTTCAGCAGTAATATGTCCATCCTTGTTGACTTATTCCTACATGTGCAATTTTTATGCTAGATAATAATGACTTAATGATTCACATAGAAAATACGTCATAGAACATTCTGGGCACAAACTTAACATGTAAACAACATAACGAGCACCCCCTTTGGCTCTGGTTTTTTTCAAATGCAAGAAGGCAAACTTAAGTGGGTTTTTTAATCTCTCTTGGTAATTTTGATCAGTTAAGCACCTTCTAGTTACAAATCAATAAAAGCCTCTCCTTTCAATATGGTACATTCTAAATGTTCAAACACTGGTTATTTTTTCAACAGTTAAAGTATTATTTTTCTATTTTGGAGCATTTTAAATATGTAATAATCAGGGACAAAAACTTTTTAAGCTGGTACTATAGACAATTAATTTACTTCTGGTCCCTGGAGTTATTTATCTGGCGCTTTTCTTGAAGAATTAAAAATATTGTTAATATTCATGTTTTTTATTAATATTAGTATTTTTCCCCTTGAATACATATAACCTAAAAGAAGTCACTAAACAGAATATTTAGGATACAGGTGTAGAGTTTGGCCAGTTTTTACATGGGCTATTTGACACTGATTTCTTAGTTTTAAATTTAGGTACTCTTTAAATGAAGTTCATTTGTGGAAACATACAGCACAGGAGACATAGAGAACATATTGAATACGTATCTTGTGAGAATTGGTAACATTTTAAAAAGCCTCTTACTAGCCATTTCACTTGAAATTTTGGCCATTTCACTTGACAAAAAATTATTCAAAAGTTGCATGATTTTTACATTAAAATACTTTTTGTATGGTGCTCCTACTAAGAGCCAGGTGCCATATTACATGCTTTCCATGCATTATGTCTGTTCCTCACCACAGCTCTGCAGGGTGTTTACTGTTAACACTGTTTTACAAATAAGACAGCTGAAACTCAGACTAATTAAGTGACTTTTCCAGGGCCCACAGTCAGTGTGTCTGACCTCAGTGACTTTAATTTTTCTGTGCACCACTTTCCTTTCTGTATACCACATTGTTTCCTGTTCTCTAAGCATTTTTCCTCAAAATTATCACTTCTCATCCCCTGTCACAGGTATTTTTAAAAGCTTTCATTTATCTAAAAACTAACTGCTTTGATAGAAATGCTCTTTCTGCTGCTGCTGCTGCTACTTAGTTTTGCAGGCATTATTGTTCACTTTCATGAAGTCTGTTATAACTAGCCGGAACCTCAAGTAATAAACGCATATTTAGGAGAATCTTTGAAAGATCCACTCCTCTTTCATAAAGACCTATAAAAAACCAAGAATACATACTGCCATCTCTGATAAATATTTATTGAGCACCTGTAACATTTTGGGAGCTATTCAGAAGAGTCAAGATTTGAACATGAATAAAACCTAGTATCTAACCTCCAAAGGTGTTCATCCTAGAAATGAAATAAACACAAACAATATGAAATACAAAGTAGTCGAAGATATACAAGCTATGGTGTGTACTAGAGGATAAACAGGTAAGGTAGGAATTTGTTCTTTCAGGGAATAGTGGGTGTATCTTTCTAGAACATAGGCCATATGAACGGGGCTTCTAAACTAAATTTATATGGAAAAGCATATACAGATTATGTAAGGAGATCTGCTGTAATATTGTGCAGTGTTGAATGACTATCTCCGTTACAAGAGGTAAGCATAGAGAACCTTACTTGCATCTGTATTTGGCACCAACATTAGCACTTAAAACCTTCAGTGGACTATTCAATCAAGCTTGGGTCATTTGTTCTTCTGGAATAACAATAATAGTCCCCTAAGTAGAGCGAGCCTTAAAACAAATAACGAGTTTATACTAATTAAACATATATTTAGTTTAATACATTTTTTAAGTAGCATCATTACCATTTTTATAAATACTGTGATGATGATGTTAGTGATTGCTGTTATTCCACTTCCAGGATAAGAAAAATAAACATGGTATGTAGGATGTGACAACTCTTGGGTTCCAAAGCAATGAGGCTTCATGGGCCATCTTTTGTGCCCTCCCTGTCAGATCTAGGAAAGAATTCCCCATTATACATTTTAGGACAGAAATCATAAGTCCTTTTATTCTATTCAGGAAGACACTGTTTATAGCTATATTTTCATCTTCTCTCTTCTAATAGGGGAGTTTATCAAAGCTTTGTATGAGTCAGATGAGAACTGTGAAGTGGATCCCAGCAAATGTTCATCTAGTGAACTGATAGACCATCAGAGCAACCTGAAAATGTGCTGTGAGCTGGCTTTCTGCAAGATCATCAACTCTTACTGGTGAGCTTATCTCATCCTCTGCCTGTGGAACACCTTTTCATGTAAAAGTCATCACAATGTTAACAATTATTTTACAACCAAAGAGGAGGGTCTTGGAGAGAAATTGAAAGTTTCTCGAATACAGTCCCATCTAAAATTGAAATCTCCATTGTAAGCAGAAGTACTTTTTAACTGGCTATCTACATAAATATAATCTCTCCCCAGAATATTAGTACTATAGCCTCTAATATCAAAAGTATTTCTTTTGCTTTCTAAAATATTTACTAGTGTTGAACAGATGTGTTCATGAATTTTGATCATTGCACTAACTCCAGCAATTGGTGAAACTTTGGAAGATTTTTGATGAACAGTCTTTAGAGAGACTATGGTGAGTTATACTAAACCAGATGGTTTAGTCATGAGCCTCATGCCATTTTCCCACTTTGCAAAACTAAATTTAAACTAATCCAGAGTTTTGTAGCCTTGGGTTTCCAGTCTCCATCTGGCCTCTGTGAATTTTTCCACCGCCTCTCAGCCATGAATCAGGTAAAACCTCATCCCAGAATTTCTACTAGGTCCTCCTCACAGCCTCCTCTTAAGCAGAGATATGTTGGGTCAGGGTGGAATCACTTGTGCTTTGGGTTCTGGTACTTCTGTGTTTAGAGGTTTTGGTACTTTTTTCCTTCCCTAGTGTTTTCCCTCGTGAGTTGAAAGAAGTGTTTGCATCATGGAAGCAGCAGTGCCTGAACCGTGGCAAGCAAGACATCAGCGAGAGGCTCATCAGTGCCTCATTATTTCTCCGTTTTTTGTGTCCAGCCATTATGTCTCCCAGTCTTTTCAACCTTATGCAGGAGTATCCTGATGACCGCACATCTCGGACTCTAACTCTTATTGCCAAGGTCATTCAGAACCTGGCCAACTTTGCCAAGTAGGTGATACTATTGTAACCAGTTTAAAAACACAGTTTAAAAAATACTCGAGGCCTAAAATTTGAATGAGGGTTGGGAACCTCATCACTCATGTTACCAGATTTTCACTGTGATATTAATAAATATAGCAAAAAATTGGAAACAAGTTAAATAATCACTTCGTAGAGGAGTGGTTAAGTAACCTATGATACATGCATTCAATGGAATATTTGCAGGTACTACAAGCTGCTTACAAAGACTATCCAATAATATAGAGCATTAAGATAAAATTAAATTAAAAGTGCTGAAAAAAATGCTTTAGTAGGAAAAAAAAGGGCAGAATAAAAAGTGGTATGTATACTGTTACCCCAGCAATATGAAAATACAAAAATCTAACTATAAAAAAAGTTGGGAAGAAAAGACAAATTGTGTGGTTACATTGTCTAAGACAATTATCCTGACCACTTCAAAAAAGACAATTTTATGAAAAATGCAAAAGATGGAGGGGGGCTGTTTTAGATTAAAAGAGATTAAATGCAGTACTTGAAACTTATTTGGATCTTAAGTTGGAAAAAATATATGTCCTTTTGGGGGCAATGGGTGGAATTTAAATATAGACTGTAGATAAGATAATTCATGAATAGTGTTTTTAAAAGTTTTAGTGTGATAATGGCATTGGTTTATGTAAGAGATATTCCTTATTCTGAAGAAATGGACACTAAACTATTTAGAGGTGATGTCTGCAACTTGGTTTAAAATGGTTCCAGAAAGAAAAAAAAAAAAATCTGTATAGAAAGAGAGGGTGTGAAAGCAAACTTGGCAAAAATAACAGTTGGTTAATGTAGATGAAAGGCATATGGGTATTCATTGTATATTCTTTCAACTTTTCTGTAGGTTTAAAATTTTTCAAAAGAAAATCAGGAGAAAACAGTTGGGGAGGAAATGTACTAAAATATAAACAGCAGATATATTTGGGTAGCTTGAATGAGACATCCACACTTTTTTCTTTCTACTTTTCATTGTTTCAAACTTTTTTCAGTAAGTTTATGTTATTTTTATAATTTATAGAAAATAAGTTAAAGAAATGGCTGGGAAGGAATTCACATTTACAAAATTGACCAAGATTTATTCAATATTGATGCTTAAAAACAAGTTTGTATTAGCAATGTATTGAAGAAAAAAAAAAAGAGCAGATTGTTTTCTAGTATAAATAGTGGCTTTTTAGAGGTGTACTATATTAATTTTGTGTAATTTATATATAAGCCAATGCAGAAATACACATATTTATCCATATTTGAGCTAAAAAATATTTATATTTTATTTTGGAACAGGTTTTATGGACTTAAACTAGGCCCTGAAGATAGGTAGAATCTAGATAGGCAAAGGAGAGAAGGTTTTCTCTAGTGCAAGTAAATAGCATGGGCAAAAGCTTGGAGAAGACAAAAATGTATAATATATTTGGGAGACTTTGAAGAAACTAGCAGTATTGAAGGTTTGTACTGGTGAGCATTTGGTAGGTAAGTGAGGCCTATATTACAGAGAAATTCACATACCAGAAGTAAAAAAAAAAAAAAAGAGGTTTGGCTTTACCCTTTAGAGAATAGAAAGCTATTCAAACCATTGGAATATTAAAGTGATATTAAGAAAGTATGTTATAGCATTTATCACTTATAGATAATAAAATTAGTCATTCCCTCCACAAAATAAAAAAAAAAAAATGTCATAATTCTGTGTAAAGTCAAATCAAAATGATCATCTCTCTCTTGAATATGTTCTTTCTCATTTTCTCATCCTCTACTTCAGGTTTGGTAACAAAGAGGAATACATGGCATTCATGAATGATTTTTTAGAACATGAATGGGGTGGAATGAAGCGCTTTCTTTTGGAGATCTCTAATCCAGACACCATCTCAAACACCCCAGGCTTTGATGGTTACATTGATCTGGGCCGAGAGCTTTCAGTTTTGCATTCCTTACTGTGGGAAGTAGTTTCCCAACTTGATAAGGTAAAGTAGGTTGATGGAAGATAGAGACTTTAATGTACCTGAATTCTGGAAAGTACCTATAGAGTGATAGCACTCACTCTTTCTGCTAATTGAAAGCAACCTTTTACCCTAGAAATCTGAGAGTGGTCATCATTTCTGAGTAAAATATGGGACCGACAACCATGAAATTCTAGAAAACCATGACATTATTAATATATGTTTTTAATATTTATCTGAATTAATGGAGTATATTTCTCTAAATTTATATATACATAGTGCATATCTGAAAACTTTATTAGAAACTAATATATTGGTATATACAGCCTTATGCATGTCTAATAGGATAAGATGAAACCTCATATAGTAACTTCTAATAAAAGTATAGATTTAGCTAAGAAAGTACTAGGTTTATCATGTTTTAAGTAACTTTACCCATGAAACAAATTTTTTTACTATACAAGTCATAGAGTTTCATATAATTATTAGTGCTAAAAATCACTGTTTTCTTTCTTTACAGATGTGAATTAAGAATACAGAAAACAATTATTTTTAATCATTTGTTTGCTAAGAATTTTATTATGTACCATATTAATAAGTAAATATACACCATGCCAATCATTTTCTTCCTTCTGGAATTTAACAAAAAGGAATAGATTTGGTAGTAAAAAATAGTCTAATAGACTTTGGCTAGGCTTATTACAATAATTATTTATTGATGTTTTTGTTTGCTACAGGCATTTTATAAATATGTGTGGTGGTCTGTTAGAATAACTTCAAAAGACAGTTATTTTTCTGTGATAATGATTTGTTTTCCTCTATTTTCCTATCAATAAAAGTGATATACCAGTAAAATTTGAAGGGGAATAAAACGTATTAACAAAGGCCATTTTGCTGAGGAAACATAAGTGGTAGTGTGTCCTCCAATGCTTAAAACATTTGTGAAACAGTAAACTGTTCCTTATTCTCGAGGACCTTTTTTCACTTTTAGAAATGCTAGCTAGAGTTTTAAGTTGTAACTATGCCAAAGGTAAATCCTTTTCATATGAATCATAGCCCAACATTGTTGAGCAAGTAAAGGCTTTGGTGGCATCTGTACCTGTTTGAGTAGGGTAAAAGAGTCTGTTGATTGTTGAGAAGGCAGAGACCCAAAGGCAGCTATGTCAAACTGACTGACAGTTGAAGGGGACCCCTAAGACCCCATGAGAGTAAGAATTCCCTAAAGAAAAAAATGATTGAAATGGATAAAGCAAGTATTAAAGAGTTAGTCTTTGTTGAATAACTGCATCTCAGTGGGATGCAGGTTCAGTTTGCCTGTGAAATGGGCTTGGTTTATTCAGGATCAAGGTCTTTTTAACGGACTTTGCTGTGTAAATACACTTTCTCCTTTTTAATCTGTGTTTGGTCCTGGGAACCAGGAATACATCTAGACATATCTCATAGAGAAAGTTTACCTGATTTTATTGTTAAATTAACAACAAAAATTGTCTTACTGATGGAAACTCAGTTGGCAGTGGGTCGGGATTCCCGAGATTGACTGGGATAGTGGATGGCACTATCATCTGTGTGCCCTGCAGTACTCTGGATTCCTGAATGCAGCACCTTCTTATATGTTGGCATGCATTTCTTTTCTCACATGATCCCTTTTCTTTGAAAGTTTATCATACTAGCTGATCCTCTGGTCTTGAAGTTCTTTTGGTTAGAAGGAATTTGGTTCTTCCTCTACCCTCCCCCACCTTGATCTATTGGCCTCCCAGAGATTTAGTTTGCTTCGCATGTCTATTTTAGTTGGAATGGCATTAGTTTGGTAGTTTTGAGCATGTCTTTTAATTTTTATTTGCATAATCCTGATTTCAATTTCCTTTCTTTCCTCGATGTCTGCTGCACCCTGTTTCGCCTCCTCCATTCATCTCGACGCCATGGTTCTGCTGCTCCATAACAATGCATTATGAACCTGCCACTCCCATATGCAAACACCTACCCTTCCCTCCAACCTACACCCCTCCATCAATGGCCATCGTTGTGCCAAAAACAATCTATGGTGGATGTCGCAATGCTTATTATCCAATTAGGGTGAAAATTCCTTCCTACAGGCGACCGTGGCAAAATTGGGGCCTCTCCCTCGTGTTCTTGCTGATATTACCAAGTCATTGACTAATCCTACGCCAATACAACAGCAACTGAGACGCTTCACTGAACATAACTCCAGTCCAAATGTCAGTGGAAGCCTCTCCTCTGGGCTGCAGAAAATATTTGAAGACCCCACTGACAGGTATGAAAGAGAGGACGTGACCAATATCTCAGAGAAATATAATGTTCAGATTTAGCAGAAGTATATTCAACCTATTTTTTGAATTTACAAGTTTAAAATCATGAGCAATTGAAGACTCATCTGACCTGAGAGCAGTTCAGTTATTTGTCATTATAATGCACAAGATCTGGGATAACTTATTTTCTAGAATGGTAGTATAGAGAGTTAGAATATATTCCACAGCATATTTTAAAAATTTCTGTCTTGCTTAGTGGAAGACCAAAGGCTTTATGAAATTCATGTTTCTATACGTTATAGCATTCAAAAACCATGGAGAACCTCGGTGAAAACCATTTTATAGCTGGCTATGTCAGCTGGACAGGTAGATACAATGTTGGTGCTTAGACTGTGTTATGGATTGGCAAGACTTGTGCCTTTAGCAGGGACCTTGCAGTTGTGTACTTAGAACTTCTCTTGAAGGTTTAGATAAGTAAGTATGAATTGGAATATTTTAGGAAGGTTTAAAACCTAACTAGGAAATTATTGGAATCCTGGTTAAAAGTGAAGACAGTGATGGGTTGGTATCTACAGTGTTATTCTCTACTTTTGGGGAAAAAGTAAAAATGCTGGATTTTATTCTAACAATTGTAATAATTCCCTAATTATATAAAATCTGAGTTTCCAAAGAAATGTATGTATCCACATAAGAACCTTCAGAGGAGTTCACATGCCTGAATGGAGGCATCTTTGAAGTTGTCTCAAGAGAAATTAAGTGTCCTTTCCTTTTCCACAGTGATTTGCATAAACTAAAATCTCCAAGCCAGGACAACACAGACAGCTACTTCAGAGGGAAAACATTATTGCTGGTTCAGCAAGCCTCCTCTCAGAGCATGACTTATTCTGAAAAGGATGAAAGGGAAAGTAGCCTTCCTAATGGTCGGAGCGTCTCCCTCATGGACCTCCAGGACACTCATGCTGCTCAAGTGGAGCATGCATCTGTCATGCTTGATGTGCCTATACGCTTGACCGGAAGCCAGCTTTCCATAACCCAGGTGGCCAGCATCAAACAGCTGCGGGAAACCCAGAGCACTCCCCAAAGTGCACCCCAAGTGAGAAGGCCCCTGCACCCAGCCTTGAACCAGCCAGGTGGCCTTCAGCCCTTGTCATTCCAGAACCCTGTCTATCACCTCAATAACCCAATTCCAGCAATGCCAAAGGCCTCTATAGATTCCAGTTTGGAGAACCTAAGCACTGCCAGTTCCAGAAGCCAAAGTAACAGTGAAGACTTCAAGCTTAGTGGACCCAGCAATAGCAGCATGGAAGATTTCACTAAACGTAGCACTCAGAGTGAGGACTTCTCCAGGCGGCACACTGTGCCAGACAGACACATACCTCTTGCTTTGCCACGACAAAATAGTACTGGGCAGACCCAGATCCGAAAAGTGGACCAGGGTGGGTTAGGTGCCCGAGCCAAAGCCCCACCATCCCTGCCACATAGTGCTTCCTTACGTAGCACCGGGAGCATGTCAGTGGCGTCCGCAGCCCTGGTGGCCGAACCTGTGCAGAATGGGAGCCGGTCCCGGCAGCAGTCCTCTTCCTCCAGAGAAAGCCCTGTTCCCAAAGTGAGAGCAATCCAGAGACAACAGACACAGCAGGTAGGCGCGAGTGCTGAAGGGGCATGGCTTCTACTTGGTCCATCTGTTTCCTTGGTTCTTTATAGGTAAATCATTGGGAAATCCTATTGTTAACAATATTTCCACTTAAAAGCAACCTTTAAATGGAAAGAGGAAAGGAAAATTTGGGGAAGCTTCTGCCTAAGTGAGACTGCAGAATGAAGTTTGACTCATTACCCTTAAAAGTCTAACAAACACGCAGGGGCCCCCTTCTCTTCAAGCAGCAGAGCTGCTACCTCAGTTTACACTTAGAACAAATCGGTGATGTTGAATGAATAATTAGATTCTTAAAATCTGTAGGCAAAACCAACTATTATTTTGGGAATCTGAAAATTAATCCCTCTTAATTTTTTTTCTTAAGCTTCCAGAATAAAGGTTTGCATTCTGAGCCAAGAGTTTAATGTGACTGCTCTCCATTCCATCCCTCAACTCTCTCTGGAAATACAAAGTCCCATGTGCCTTTTCCTGGAAATGGCTAGAAAAATAAACACTTGAACACATAGAGAATCAAGGTAAAGGAAAGATTAAAAAGATAGAAGCACAGGTGGAAAAGGAAGTATTCTGAACATTTGCAGATCCCTTACATTTCTATTTACATGGACAAGCCCAGCTAACATCACATCCAATCATAATATAAGATTTTCTGATTTTTTTCTTGACAAATAAAAAGCTTTGCCCAGAAATTAATCATTTCTTCCTTACATATTACATTTTGAAGCATCAATACATATTTTTCCCTTTGAAACAAACTACTGTTAAATATACATATACACATTCATGTAATTTTTCATATATATAATATATATCTTTTTATATCTTTCATCTAAAAAGATTTTTCTCCTGAAAAAGCATTGTGTTAGTGGAATTTTTTTTGAAACCTAATGATAGTACTAGAAAGTTTGAGATTAAAAGAGTTCTATGACAAATCCTTTTATGCAGCAAAATAACTGGGGAGGGAGACTGCAATAAAATCCTAATTTGTATCTGTAATATATTTACATTTTTACAGTTTAGGCACTTACTGATATGGCTGCATCTGCCTCCAGTCTGCTATGATCAGAGCCCCTTACACCTACTTTGATTTTTTTAATTGGATTATTTATAGAATCCTTGGATACAGAAATAGAAGAAGGGATGAAAAGCATGACTAACTTAAACTGTTTCTGGAAGCAGACTTCCTGGACTAAACCTCCTACTTGGTCATTTTTTACTGAGTAATAAAGTTTTTCTTTATACAGTTTTCTTAAAACTTTATAAAGTTTTCTTAATACAGTCTTAAATTTTTCATTTTTATTTTGTTATATTTATATATCCCAAAAATTTACCAAATTGTTTGATTTAGTAAGCATTTGTATTTGAAGAAAAGGAAAAATATGTATCTTTTATATGTATCATATGTATTTTTTATATATAAATGTGTGTGTATATATAAACATAAAATGTATGTGTTAGGAGGCTATTAGTCATGCCCACCTTATTGTGAAGTAGTTTCCTCCCATCACTTTTGTGCTAGACTCTAGTTGAGATCAACTACTTTCAGAGAATTAAGGTGTTCATTGGGTGGAGAAAGGAAAAATACATAATTTTAGAAATCAGAATACTGTGTAGAAGCACATATCTACTCAGGGACTTAGAGCAGCACAAGGGCACTGAAGATAAGATTAGTGAAGGGCATGAGATCTGGCAGAGAGGGACAGGACAGGAAAAGTGTCCTCCACCTGCTTTTCAAAAGTGTGCTTAGGCCCAGCCCTGTACAGAAAAGGAAAATAAAGATTCTTTTTTTTTATTCTGCTTACCCTTTCCTTTTGTATCATGGAGTCCTCTGTGACTCCATGAGGGCCCAGGACTCAGGCTGGTTGTTTATTAATATTATAAATTACGTAGCCTTTTTTGTGGTCATCTGGAGCCAATTGTCATTTATAACATTTTTTCTTTAGGAAAATATAATAGCTATCACATAAGCACATAATAAATGTTTCTGTGGGTTATAAATAGAGGACTGCCTGGATGGATGGGAGGTGGGAAATGCATACAGTCTCCAAACAACCAATATAAAAATTAGTTTTTGTGTCATAGCCATTAATGAGTCACATATATATTTTTTGGCATGAAGTGGGGTACAGGCACAGTGAGATGTCCAGGTACAGCTTTGAATATTAATCTTAGTTTATACTTTTGCTGGTGGTGCCACTGTCATATCAGTTGAAGCATAAGTCACTTTATTTTGATTGTTCAAGTTTCTTTTTTTTTTTTTCCTACACTGGCTTTTGTTCATTGTTTTGAACTTACATCGTTAGTTTTTTATTTCTTTTTTTTTTTTTCAAAACAGAGTCTTGCTCTGTTGCCTAGGCTGGAGTGCAGTGGCGCGATCTCAGCTCACTGTAACCTCCGCCTCCCGGGTTCAAACAATTCTCCTGTCTCAGCCTCCTGAGTAGCTGGGATTACAGGTGCCCGCCACTACGCCTGGCTAATTTTTGTATTTTTAGTAGTGGCGGAGTTTCACCACATTGGCCAGCTTGGTCTCGAACTCCTGACCTCAAGTGATCCACCTGCCTTGGCCTCCCAAAGTGCTGGGATTACAGGCATGAGCCACCATGCCTGGCATAGTTTTTTATTTCTTATATTTCTGTTTCTTGCTTGCTTTGTTCATCTCACTCCCATGAAGCCTCTGAAGTTCTATATAATCAGCACATTTTTAAGGCAAATTCCTTTACATATTTTAATTGCAAATTGTGTTGGGGAATTCTCTCCCAGGAACTAGAGGATTTCTTTGTGGGGATTGTTCTGTAGGTGGCTGTAATTATCAGTAGCTTTGTGCCTGCAAATTCCATTTATATCTCAGCACAAAGTAGTGGCCATTGTCTGCACAGTAACTGGCTTCGGTCTTCTACGTCTAATGAGTAGGAAGGAAATAAAATCCTGGTGAAAAAATTTACAGATAAATTTTTTTTCAAGAAGCTGTCTTAATTTTTTAACCCATTTCAGCCTCTGTTTGGATTGCTTTTTTCTTATTTTCCTCTCTATTTTGTTTTTTATGTATCATGTACTTTGTACAAATAATAGACTTTTTGTATAATATATGAGTCATTCAGATTTATCATGTACCCTAATCTTAGAAATTTGAATTTGAAGAGACCTTTTCAAATAGATAATTGACAAGTCTATTAATATGATGCTGCAGTTTTCACATTTGGATTTGTTGAGCTGTCTCCTAACCAACCTTTTCAAGAACTCCCAAAGTTTATGGATTAATTTAATCAGCCCCTTTCTTTGGCGTTGATAGCAGAAATTCGTTTATAGGAATCCGACTATTTCACACTCTGAAGCTGAAACTAATTGGTCTTGTTTGTATCTAGTAAATACTAGCAAGGAACAAGGAACTGGCCGCAGCATAGCCAGTCTGTGACTAATTGTAGTCTCAGTGAAACTGCTGCATCAGGCTCTTTTGCCCTAAAGCATTACTGTTTTTCCAGGGAGACCCTGTGCAGCTTTATCTCAAAGGGAAGATATTCCTAATGGGAATTCCTGCTGTATAGCTCTATAGATGATTGTTAAAAGGATATTATCTGTTGTTTACATTTTGTTGTTTTTGTTTCATTATCTTTGATGATCATGTTGAAAGTGGATATAAATTCTCTTTCTAAGGCTATTCCTAGGCAAGATGGATCTGAACCACTTACCTCCTCCCTCAATTTCTTGGACTATAAACTAGAGATATTTTTTGCTGTTTATCCGACTTATAAGGAGATGGAACAATCATTGAAAAGAATCCTTTGGTGCCCTTCCAAAGGATTAGGGGAAAAACATAGAATATTCTCTTAGTAATAAATTATATTTTAGTAATTAATTCTAAAGATAATCCAGAATAATAAATGAATAATATTTTATTGAGTATCTGTTGTGCATTTAACTAGTCAGTATCATTTAAAAGAACTGTATGATATGATGCCCGTTAGGTTGACTAATTGGAAAATAAGAGCAACACTTATAAGACCAAGAATATATAAAAGATAGTATGTAGTTTTTTCATTTGAAGAACATATTACAACAAAAAAAAATCATGAAACAAAAATCACCTCTGTTTCCTTTCAATCCAGCACAATAACTATTTTTTATTTATTCAATATTTCTAGCCTTTTTACAATTTTGTGAAGACTTTATCATTAATAGAAGGAATAGTTAGGATTGATCTATTTTGTCACTTTTATTTTTATTATTTTGACCACCTACTGTATGGCAAGGAGAGTGCTAGGATATATTAGGAAGTGGCTGAAAATAAGATTTGACCAATAAAATAGTAGAAATTTCTAGAAGTTCATTCACAATTGCTTAATGTGTACATGTCTGTTTATATAAACTATGCACATCCATCCTCAGCCATGAAGCTATTTTTACTGATATATATCAATAATCTGTAAATCAGCTAAACCAGATCCTTCTTCACATCTTTAAGAAATGTCCCTGTGTTACTTTTGCATGTGCAAGTTTTAAAGTCTCTCCCAACCCATGTCTGATAACCTTTTAGTCTCTGCAGTCAGTTTTTTAATCTGGTCTTCCTCACTCTCCAGTTTATCAAAATACCCCTTCTTTTAAAATATTTATTTAGAGTTTAACTGAGTTCTATTTCAGAATGATGTAAAGATCCTTAAGATGTAATAGCTGTGATGGGAGAGAAAATGCCCTTCAATTATGAAATTATAGAATTCTGGTCCTCAAAATGCAAATCCCTCTATTTAATTATAAAAGGCTAACTCACATGCCAAGTTTTGCACTCTCTCTGTAGCTTACTCTCTTTCTGAGGCAGGACAGATGGGAAAAAAATTGTGTGTTTCCATCATTGTTTGTGGGGAAAGCACTAATATTCAGTAGCCTAATATAAATTGTAATATCTAGTGCCAGTTTTTGAAACATAAATATAGTAATGACTGACATCTAACCTCTCTGTAGCGCTCTGAAGTTTCCAAAGAGTTTTCATATATATTGTCTTATCCTCACAGCTCCCTATGAGATGATCGAGATAGGTGGTAGTGACGGTGTTGGTATCTCTATTCAGTAGATTAGGAAAATAGACTACCGGTATCCATCGTTTTGATCCTGTATTCAAGAAATTTTCCAGTATAAGGACCTTTGAGTGGTCTTAATCCATCATGAAGTCAGTGTTCTGTAAAGATAACCAGCATCACTTGTCCTTCTTTTTCTCTAAATCATTAATATGAAAACTAAGTAGATTGGTGCAAAAGTAATTGTGGGTTTTGCCATTTAACCCACAATTACTTTTGCACCAACCTAATATTTGCCATTCTGATTATAAATGGGCACTTTGTGAGTTTGTTTAGCACTAATCAGTTTTTTAGTTTCTGATTGTGTCTAGGCTAAACAGATGTTTTGACCATCAGGTTATGCTTTCTTCCTGTTATTTTATCATCAATAGACTTTTATGGCATAAAAGACTTTTATGGCAGAGGTCATTTATTAATTTCAGCAGGCAATCTGTTACCTACCAGTATTTGCACCACTGGGCAAATTAACAATTTTAAGGCTTTTTCTTTAGAGGGAGAATAAGGATGCCTTTTGAATATGTTATATACAACTTTCTATTCAGAATGGTTTGCACTTATATAAATGTATATTCTCTTTCCCTACCCCTAGCCTTGGCATTAGTAAAATAATACTTAAGGCTAAGAGCATTAATTAGAAAACTGAGAGATCACAGCTAACATCTTCCAAGAATAGCTGTTTGTGAAACATAGCACATGGGTGAACTGTTAGGGGAAATGCTAATAACTGTTTCTGATGCAGGTTCAGTCACCTGTGGACTCTGCCACAATGTCCCCAGTAGAGAGGACAGCAGCCTGGGTTCTGAACAATGGGCAGTATGAAGAGGATGTGGAAGAAACTGAGCAAAATCAAGATGAAGCCAAGCATGCTGAGAAGGTAGAACCTAGTCTGCTTCATTGACTTACTGATCCCAAAATGGCAGGCCTCTAAAAGGATTATCTAGCTAAGAACATAAACTCCTCCCACCCCCATCTTCACCTCTACCCCTTATGTTAATCATCCTACACATATCTATGTAAAATAGGTCTGTGGTGTGTGTGGATGTGTGTGTGTGTGAATATACGTGGAAAATGTTCATCTTGCTGGGGGGTAGCAGCTACTATTTTTATTTTTAATGTAGATGCCTTAATCTAGAGAACACTCTGCTATTCATTTCTAGTCATTTTAGGTAAATATTTCATGTTTCCATAAACTTGTTGGTCTTCACCCAAGGACAAAATCACCCTAGGGGAAGACTTTTTCTTTATCTTGGTAACAATTTGGTTTTGATTTTAGTTTAGTTTTGTTTTCGTTTTTCTGTTTGTTTGTTTGTTGGTTTGGTTTTTTTTTTTTTTTTTTTTTTTTTTTTTTTTTTTTTGCCTTTTCTGGATAAAGAATGTATAACTCTATAGATGATTGTTAAAAGGATATTATCTGTTGTTTAGATTTTGTTGTTTTTGTTTTTTAAAGAAAAGTTGACAAGGAGAAAAAGGGTTATCAAACAAGAACCTTGACATCATATATAGAATTATATTATTTAATTGACAACCAGACAATTAGCTTCTTTTTATCAGCATGATATTCCAGTGTACTCAAACCCCAGCCATAGCAACTACAGTACAGGAAAGGGCCGTGTAACTAATGGAGTCACTGAATTTATGTGAAGCTTCTTAGAACACAGACATGTATGTTCCAGAAGGCAGTACAAAATTGGGCAGGTGAATCATATTATGAAAATGGGCCAAGAAGCAATATTAATTGGCCCTAGAGAACGTGTAGGCCTTTGTTTAGTGCTGTGACTGGAATATTTTACACTTTTATAGTTGGGAAGAAAGCAGCAATAACCTCTGCCATGAAAGTCTATTTATTGATTTAGGGGGTTAACATTATAGAAATGTTGCTTGTTCTCTAAAGGGGTGATTCTAGTAGAACAAAGGAATGGCAGTCTGATGAGCTAAGACACATCAGAGATCCTACAGTGCAGATGATGACACAGAATCTTTTTCTCTTATAGACAACTGACTTTTGGCTTATTTTAAGTGATTTGTCAGACTTTTAAGTACTTCATCTATTTTTTTTTCCTCTCTCATTTGATACCATCACAGATTGGATGTGGCTTATACCAATGGTAGCCTAGTATAGAGAGAGATACATACATATGTAGAATTTGGAATGCCAAGTTAAGATTTAAAATGTAATTTTAGTAAGGAAGGCAATGCTCCATTAACATTTATGCCAGTTGATAATTTTAAAGACTATTAAGAACAGTATAGGGAATGACAGCACAGCCAGCATCTAGCTACACTGCTTAGGGTTTCTTTTGTTAAAAAAAAAAAAAAAGGAAAGAAAAGAAAATCATTGATTTCTAAAAGCAGTGTAACTCCAGTTTTTCTCTCCTTGCCTCGTCTGCCCTAGTATGAACAAGAAATTACTAAACTGAAGGAGCGCCTGAGAGTGTCCAGCCGGCGACTGGAGGAATATGAACGCCGCTTGCTGGTGCAGGAGCAGCAAATGCAGAAGCTGCTGCTGGAATACAAGGCCCGCCTGGAGGACAGCGAGGAGCGGCTCCGAAGACAGCAGGAAGAGAAGGACAGCCAGATGAAAAGCATCATCAGCAGGTTAGACATCACCTGGCAGCAGATGTGGGCTAGTTAGGGAGACAAAGAATTGAGATGATCCACAGAACCTTGAAGGAATGGCAGCAAAAGCTATTTTTATCTTTGTTGTACTGAGTACAAATGTGATGATTGACTGTATCTCTTAAAATATCCTAAATATGAGACCTTGGGCACTTCCTATGAAGGTAATCTGTTTTTCTTTAACCATAACAATTAGAAAAAACTAAAACTTGGTGATTTACTTGAGAAATCTTAGAGAACTGGGTTTTAAAAATGTAAATATCCAATGCCCAAGACTAAATTAATCTTTCAAAATGAGTCCAGAAATATGGAAAGGAATTTTATGGAATATCTTTGGGGCCAGAGGACCTCTTTTGAGAGTGCTGCAGATGCCAAGGGAGAAAAAGGGAGGGTAAAGTTTACCAAACACTTGTATAGCACTCACCATGGGACACACACCTTTCTAAGCACTTTACACATAATAGTTTGTTTAATCTTTATCACAGCCTCCACCTACGCATTATTATTCTCATTTTACAAATAAAGAAACAGGCAACAAATTCATTAAGTCACTTGCCCAAGGTCACATAGTTAGTGATGCACCAGGATTTGAACCCCGGACTCCAGATTCCATGCTCATAACCACTATGCCTCAATATTTGTAAAATGCTATGGACAGGTCAAGTAAACAGAACTGTTTGTTGTTTAAATAGTGTGGAGGTAATTGACCATCTTACTGAGAGGTGTTTGGGTAGACTGGCAGAATTAAACATCAATGAGTTAAGATGTGAATGGTGGACAGGAAACAAGCTAGACATACTACGTATAGAGTACTCACTGAGGAAACTTAGCTATGCAAGGGAAGAGAAAGTGGGCCAGGTATAGGGTAACTTGAGATTAAGAGAGGGTTGTTTGGTTTTTGTTGATTTGATATTTTAAGATGAAATAAGTTGTGCTCAGGAAGGAATCTGAGAGAGATGAGGGAGGAAATGATTATGGGATTACTGTTCCAAAGGAGATGAAAATGTGTGGGATCCAGGCACAAGGAGAAAAATCGACCTTAGATGTCTTATTCCAAGGTGGCGGAGAAGAAAGAAAAGATGGTTGCAGGTGTCTTATTAAGAAGGGCAGAGGATATTGAGTTTTCCTGTTCTCTACACTAGTTAGCCCTCTCTTTGAAGATGTTGTATTTCCTCCCTGCCACATTCTAGGCTAATGGCTGTGGAAGAAGAACTGAAGAAGGATCATGCTGAGATGCAAGCAGTTATTGATGCAAAGCAGAAAATAATTGATGCACAGGTAAGCAGGCTTTGAATCTAATAGAAGGCATTTGTTTATGATAACTATTATTTCCTGACTTCACACCCTTGTAAATGCCAAGGCAGGTACCAGAAAATGGGTCATTGAAAAGTTCTGGACATTACGTTTTGAAGATTAAATGAGTGTCTATGTGACCTCCATTACTTTTCCTTTCTTTCATTGGTGAGAAGTCTGTTTACTCAGCAAAGTATTAGCGTGTTTAGTGCAGTTGCTTGACAAATCTCAACCTAGTGCATGATGCGGTTTGCTTCTTTCCTTATGGAAAGGAGGGCATTTTCTAAGGGGGTAATTGTGAAAAGTGCACTGCATGTGTCTGGCTTGTGACCTCCACTGACCATTGCTTGGCTGTGCTGTTCATGGTCTTGTCAGTCACGTCCACTGCCATCAACCTTTTGCCCCAGACAGTAATGGAATTGCCAGGGAAAGACAAGGTTGTAAAAAGGTACCTTTCCTTGTTGTTGTTTTGGTTTAGGGTTTGGCATTGCTGCTTGGAATGTGCTTGGCTGCTCTTCTTTGTTGGTGCTGTGCTTAGAGAGCATCTTTTGATAAAACTTTTAAAAAAGAAAAGGTTGTTGAAATCAGAACCTAGGCTTCTGCTCACTGTAGCTCACACCTGTGACACCAATGAGATAAAGGCTGCCAAGAGCACCTCATAGGGACATGTCAGTGATTAGAGCAAAATCCAGGAGGCAAGAAATGTTTCTAACTCCTTTTTATTTTATCATTGCAAAATATGGTTGTATTTCTTATGGTGAAGCAAATAACAAAAAGCAGGTACAGTTTTGATAGTTTTGATAGTGGCTGATCTAGCCACTGAATGTGTTGCTTCCCTGAAGATAGCCGATCCAGGTTTGCATTTTTCAACCTTAAATGCCATATCATAACCCTAAGCTGTGAAATAAAAAATGAGAGCAAGGATTTGATGCATAGATAGCCTACTCCCTTCTCTAGGTATCAGCTAGTAATCAACATATTTTAGAGCCCCCCGTATGCTTAAACATGTACTTAACAGTCTAGATTCCTTACAGAGTCCATGTGGAATGGGGTTTAGTTTTCAACAAAATTGAGAGTGAGGCTGAAAGCGCAGTCGTGGAAAGAATGCTTCATGGGCCTCACACTTCTTTAAACACAGTAGACTTGGAAGTCAGGTGAGAGTTGTGAGGATGCTGTCTCAATCAGCACAGTTCCTTCAAGTATTTTGGATTCTTGAACTCTATAGTTTCTGGATACTTAGACATGCTGAGAATCAGAAGAAAGGTCTGTAGTAATTATCTTACTTGGTCCTTTGAAAGAAATCTTTCTAGATGCCCCCAGGGTAGGTGAGGTAAGGGTAGTGGAGACTAGGCTGTCTCACTATTCACACTATAAAAATTCATCCCAGAGACTTAAGAAAAACTGCCTGGATAAATAAGGCAATTGAGTCAGGAAAACTAATGTTGGTAGGTTTTCACTTTGGAAATTTCAATATAGCAATATAAAGCAAGAAAAGTTCTATTAATAACCACACAAGGAGAGATGTTAGTGCTAAGCAATAAAATACTTTTTAAATAATTTCAGCTGGTTTAAAAGTATCAGTCTTGGCCAGGCAGGGTGGTTGATGCCTGTAATCCCAGCACTTTGGGAGGCTGAGGCAGGCAGATTGCTTGAGCTCAGGATTTCGAGACCAGCCTGGGTAACATGGTGAGACCCATCTCTACAAAAAATGCAAAAATTAGACATGGTGGCTCATGCCTGTAGTGCCAGCTACTTGGAGGGCTGAGGTGGGAGGATAGCTTGAGCCCAGGAGGTCAAAGATGTGGTGAGCCATATTTGCACCAGTGCACTCCAGCCTGAGCGACAAAGTGAGACCCTGTCTTGAAAAAAAAAAAAAAAAATAGTCTTAAGCAGAGGGAGCTTGGGTGTGCCACAGCTGTGGTTCTGTACACGGGCTGACAGGACAGCCTCATGATTAGCTCCTGAAGATTTCTACCCCACCCCCTAATTTTATATTAGGGCTAGGCGACTGGGTACAAAGCAGAAGTCACCTGCTAGGCATAGGAGGTAAAATCCAGGGAGGGAATCTGATTTATTAGGACTCAAATGCTCTGGAAAGTAAGGACCATCTCTCAGTTAACCAGGAGGGTGTCATGTGCAGGAATGGGTGAAATGTTATCCTCAAACCATCAGTCACTGTCAGACTGGTGGTCTGGCTAAGCTAGTTAATATTTTGGGTCCATACTTCAAGGCAGTGGTTTTGAAATGGTTTGGTTCTCTGGACTACTTTGGTAGAATCAAGGCACCTTTCATAGATGAATATCCAGCTGCTTCCACTGACCACTCAACAGCAAGGACCACTCTCAACTAATGAATCAAATCATACTATGATTGGTTAAATATAATAAATTACCTACCCAAACACAGATATTACCATATAATAAATTATTCTACCAGAGACCCACTATGGATCCCTAGAGAATAGTTGGGAGAATTCACTAAACTATATTTGGAAAACCTCTGCACCATGCATAGCACAAATCCTAAATACTATAGTTAAATTTTAAAAAATTATAATGTCCTTAAAAGGAAAGTTTCTCAACTCCAACTGTTGGCTTATTGATACATTAAAATCTTATTATAGCAAATGACTTTAAACATCTTTTGGCATTCTTTGTAATGAATGACTTTTGTATCAGATCCTTTCTTTTGTAAGGATAAATCTTCTCTCTTAAATGAATGATGGAGCAGAGCAGCCCTTCTGGCATCATTTAATAGAGTGAAGACATGTTTGGTGTGAAAGCTTCCCAGAGAAGTAACTCTTAGGTCAACACTTCCCAAAACACTACCAGACAGGTGCCCAGTAAACTGGTTTTCATCTCTGTCAGCAGCCCTGTGCTCCCACCAGGAAAATCTTGTCCCTGAATTCAACGTCTGCCTCTTCTTGAGTCATTTCATGCTACAAGGCACAGGCCTGCATCAGCCGCTTTCTAACAGGAACTGCAAAACGATGAGCCCTCCTTTTGGTGAGTGGCAGAAGCACCTATCCTGGACCTTATAGCTTAGGGGCCATAGGGATCCTAGTGGTGATAATAAGGATCCATTTCTTAAATATCAGACCAGAGAATGTGCTACCTTTCACCCCTGAGCATGAGGAGACACTGTGGCTCCCAGGATCTCTCTATGTGACTCAGGTGGAGAACAGAGAATGGCTTCCTCCTATGAGAAGCAAAGCAGCTGCCTAGTTACTGTTGCAAGTGATATCTCCGCTGTGTTAAATTACAGGTCATAAATGGAGATGAGATTATTCAAACAGGCAAGTAAACCCCGCGTCCGTTCTCTAGCTGAGCAGTTCCCAGCCCTGGCCCAGTGCACTGGCCTCCTACACATTCCAGCTCCTGCCACTCCCCACATGGAAATCCTTCCTGTCAGGTGTGGACTAGATTGCTTTCCCTTACAATCCAGGCAGAATTGAAATGTCCGAGCATCTTTTGCCAACTGAACTTGACTTTCATAAGTCTCTATTTAATTTTTTTTAACTTTTTTGTTTTATTTTGAGAGGTTGGCAATAGGGGGAAATACAAAGGGAGCTTCTTTATGTGGAAACTTTCTGCTGTTTAGTAGTGGGGCTGTTTGTCTTCAGTTGTTACCTTTTTAGGCAATAAGTAATTACAGTCATTCTTAGCCTTCTTTTTGACCCTTTAAAAATCAAGTTTTTCATGAATGATTTATTTTTGGATGAACCCTGGAGAATCCTAATTTCTTTAGTATTGAGACCTTATAATTTATCCCAATTCTGAAATATCTTTTCTTTAATCATTCAAGAAATTATCAGTTACTCAGTTTAGAGATCATTCCTAATAATGCAGGTAGGGAGGGGGAATATCATATTTAGCTCTTATCCCTTGTTTTCTAGTATTCACTGGCCGGTTCTTACCTATTGGTTTTTCAAAGATCTGTATTTGTTATCCCAGTAAACTTCTTTGGTTATAATTTTTTTAATTATTATTTTTTAGAAGACTTGCAGCTCTTTCCTTTAGTTTTGCCTATCCTTAAAATGAATTACTTTCCCAAAATAAAAAGCATTTTATACCAGATGCATGGGTCATTAATAATGTTGATTTTGTATATCTTACCACTTGAGTTCTCCATCAGGGAAAGAAGGATTTTTTTTAAGTGATAATGACAAGCAAGAGCTAGTTTGTTGTTGTTTCTTTTTTTTAATATACTTTGAAACTGTGACCACCAGCACTGCTGCCTTACAGATCCTGCTTTCCTGCCCCCCGAAAGCAGGAGAGTAAAGGGAAGTATTATTTGATGCCAGGTGGTAGGTGATTTTACCTAGATTTTCCCCTAGGGCCGTGGTCTTCACTCTTCTTGCTCCCAGTAGCATGTGTCCCAAAGTGTAGCACTACGTGACAGCCCTGGGTAGCTGCTGTTTTAATAGCAAGGAGCAGCACCAGCCCTCAGCCCTGCTACCTCCTCTGTGAACTTTACCATGACTAAACTTTACCATGCTTTTCTCAGGGTCCATTTAAAAGACCCCTAAGGTAGTAAAGCTCCTTTTGGCTTTGGAGATATTCCCCATATGCTATTTTCTTTTTAATTTTACAGGCATAGGTAAAGACTGTTTTCTGAAAACTATAGACTTCATGTTAGAAAGGTTCTGTAATGATTTACTGAGCTGCTGAAGCTAAGATTAGGGTATCTCTTCTAACCTAATCTTTATGAGACTGATAATGTTTTGATAAAATAATTTTATAAAAAAATTTTAGGTAGTTCTACTTTCCTTTAGTTAGACTGCCTATTTTTTTTCCTCTTTTTTTCCCCCTTGGTTTTTGTGTGTGTATATTCACCAATGCTTGGTTTCCAAATATTGTTTCTAAAGCATTTTTTTTTGAGACTCAAAAGTAAAATGAAAGCAATCTCCGTATTGGGCAGCCCTCCTGGAGTAACTCTGAGCTGGAATGGGTCTAGGAGCTTGTGTTCTCTGTTTGTTCTCATGTGTTATGTTGATGGCATTCCCTTTTCGGCCACATCTCCCTCCCCATATTCAAGTAACTCCTTGGTCTGAGCTTTTTGGCTGCTTTTTTCCCCTCTTGCTGTTGCATCCTCACCTTGTTGGTGACTCTACACTGCCACCATGTATTGTTTTAATTTTGAGCACAGTGTGAATTCTTTCCAAATGTGACTGATATGCCCTCTTTTGGGGCTAAGAACCCATAGATCACATGCTCTTCTCCTCTACGAAATGAAACCTCTGGTGCTTCTTTCTTTGCCACCTAATTTCCATGTTTCAATTTTGACCTAAAGCACTTAGTATAGTAAGGCAGCTTGATACCTCTGTTGCATAGTCTCAAGTAACACATGGTATCACTTTTACATGAAAGTCTAATGTCCCAAGAGATTTTTAATAAAAAGCCCTGCTATGCTGAAAGAAAAAGAGAGAGAGAGAGAGACAAAAAATAAACAGACCCGTTGGGCTCAGGAGAAGCTGAACCTGACCAGTGTGCAGAAAGAGGCAGAGACGTTCCATTTGGGAAGCACCATGCATACAGCTGTTTGAGAGAAAGCACTGGACTAGTCACTCAGTAAAGAAAGCGTGTTACCTCCTACCTGTAGCCTGAATAAAGGCATGATTGGTGTATTGTAGGAAAAACGGATCGTGTCCCTGGATTCAGCCAACACCAGACTGATGAGCGCGCTGACCCAAGTGAAGGAGCGATACAGCATGCAGGTCCGCAATGGCATCTCCCCCACCAACCCCACCAAGCTTTCCATCACGGAGAATGGTGAATTCAAAAACAGCAGCTGCTGACGGGCTTTGTGAATAGACAGACTGTGGAAGGAGACAGAAGGAAATTGACCCACTCTCCTATCCCCAGACCTTTACCTAGCCCCTCCAGGTTTACAGAATGTTGCTACTTCACAATGGCAATGTGGTGAGAAACTCTTGAATGAAGAGAGGAACCTTGTCTTTCAGGGCATAAGGCAGTGACTTCCAAGGTCAATGCTTTTCCCCCACATCTCTATGTACATAGGGAACTTAGTTCTGGGCCATGTACAGAAAATATCACTGTAATATACCAAAAGGAAGTTAATAATGTAGATTACCTTTTTGATTATTGCTATTTTTATTATTGTTTTCCTCTTGTTGAAAGCACTGCAGTTGTTAGAGGAAGTAAAGTAGGAACTGTTGTGTGAGTGAGACACGAGCCTGTAGGTTCAGTAGGTAGAGACCAAGCATCTATCTGATAGAAGCACATGGAGTGCAATAGGACATTGTGAGAAGGAATTTTTCAGGGATTCATCTACTAGTTTAAAAACCCCACTCTGGCCCCCTTGTCCTTTCAGAAAACATGCAAATACCAAGATCCATACAAAACAATAATTTATTCCACTGATCACCCAAGACTGGTTCTGGTTGGAAGCTAATCTGATTTGGGGATTCACTGTTTCAGAGGACACAGACAAAAGCTGTTGCATCAAAACTGGACTTTAGGAGTAATTTCGATGGAACTCCTGTCAATATGTTTATTTCCTCTGTCTACAGCAGATGGGAATCTTCTCTTTTAGATAGGGGCTTTTTTTTTTTTTAACCCCAATGGTAATAAAGGGTGTTCTTTTTCCTCTTTAGAGTTTACAAAGCTATAAATATTTGTCTCTCCACGTACCATCTTCATCTTCACACATTCACTGCGCTTTCCTCCCCATGGTGGGAGCTGTCGTCACCAACAGGGTTTACTCTCCCCTGGAGAGGTTATTTAAATAGCTGTCCATAAGCCATCCAAATCAACACCCTTTCTTCCATACAGAAAAGGGCTAACCATACCATAGCTGGAATCTCTGAATATTTCCTATTAAAATTTTTTTTCTGTGTGTTACGTTATAATTTTTGTTTGGGATAAAGACTTTATCCATTGTACTAGCAAATCTATGGGGGGTAATTTTATCTCCATCTTTAACTTTTAAAGTGCTTCTTCCCCTTATCCCCTCAATAAAGAAAGGAAATCCAAATTTGAAGCATCACTCTCTTAAAAGTGATGATTGCTCATGTTTAAAAAAAGAAAAAGAAAAAAATTGAAAGTGTCAGGATGGCACATTCCGATTGTTATTCCCATGCTGGTAGATCTGACAATAATGACCCAGTTTCAACACTTGTCATCTATAGCCTTATTATTATAGAACAGAAAAAGTCATGGAAATGAATTCATTTCCTTTTTTCCAAAGGTGTGAAATATCATCTTGAATGCAACCTTGATTATCAGAAGTATGGCGTGTTACATGTTAAACAGACATTATATATACAAATATATATACACATATATATTCATACATATGTACATATAACTGCACAAATAGGAAAAGTTCATGCCTTCTATGCTGTTCAGATATAATGTTAAAAGGGTCCTGAACCTCTTTAAGCAAGATCTAAGCAGTTGTTTTATATTGAGAAAGCAACAATGTTTCTCGAATAAGTTGATGTTGATTTTAAATTATAAGCTTTAAAGAATTTTTTTTCTAGAAAAAGGGGATGGTAAAAAAAGGACCTGAGGGAGCCATATGCATCAAGTGAGTGTTTCCCCATAACAGAGTATTTATAAGGGAACATGTATAGTGCCCTCTTTTGAGTGATGCCGACAGACACCAAGCCCTCCTTTTCACCGAGTGCCAGGCTTGCATTCCAGCCTCTTGATCTCTGCCCTCTCTCAGGCGGATCTTTGTGTTGGACTTTATGTTTCAGCAACCTCACCATGGCCACATAAGCCACAACCTTTTAAAACCATTTATTTCATAGCAATCCCTGTTTCTGCCAGACAGAGATCTAAAATGGGAGTTTCTCACTGTGTTTATCTGATCTGCACACTTTATATCCAGCTGTTTTGGCACTTTTACATTTTCTTCACCTTTGGTATTTGTTTTGCAAATTCTTACACCTTCTCTCCAAGCGGAGGGCACACTGTGGTCAAAATCACTTATTTTATTAGGAAAAAGAACTAACTGTTCCAAAGTGTAGTGTCCTTTGTTGAAGGAGGAGGGATGTAAGCATAGATCTGTTATTGTTTCTGGCTATTCTCAGCTCAAGCCATGTTTAATTCATTCTTTGTAAAAGCCTTCAGTTGTGCCACAGAAAACCTGGTAAGAGAATTGTCAGTTTCATTGGCCTTAAGTATGTAATGTGGGTGATGTCTTGCCATTGAGGTTTGGAAGCTCTTAAGTGCTGATTATGGATTACAGAGGGCTGATAAAATTACCTATATTGGGAATTGAGAGAAGCCCAAAAAAAAAATCAAATGTGCTTTTGATGGATAGAATGTATCTTATTAGCATTATGGGAGCTCCTTAGAGGGCTGTCTTCATTGGAAGATTTAATGCCCAAAACATTTGGACAGATTATGCAGCCTTCTACTAGCAGGTTATCTTGAATGAAGAAGAAATAGCAAAAAATAATAATAATAATAGAGCATTACAAGTAAACTAAAAGTTCAGAGTTGTTGACAGATGTTAAATGTTAGGTTATCCTGTGAGCCTACTCCTGTCCAAACATTTTTCTCAGTTTTTCTTTAGAGAATGCTGCAATCTGTAGAACTTACTCTGAAGGATTTTTTAAGAAGAGAAGCCACCAACAGGTGATAATTTTTATGGAGGTATTTCTTAATTGGCTTTCCCTCAGTTCAAGTAGGTAAATAACTTTGTTTTGCTGGGAGGAGGTACATGGCTGAAGAGAGGCAAATAGATTAAGATAGCAATGTCTTGCACTTCCTGTTTCCCTCAAAACACCACCACATTGTGGGTCGCAGGATAGATGAGGGTTGAGTGGAATTTGGAATTCAGGTGAAGTGCTTCTAAAGTGCATGTCAAGCTGACAACAGACTTGACCATTAATGAGGACAGTGTTGGTAGGAGTCAGAAAAGAGCTTCATATTCCCCTTTTATATTACTGAAGCAATAAGCAATCTGAGCTGAAGCAGCAAAAAGAGTCACATTTCCATCAGGTCATCATATTCCCTGAGTCTCTGCAATAAAAGCCATGTCAGAGGAGAGATTATAACTAGGGAACTATAACAAGCACTTGAGCACTTACCATGTTCCAAGCACTATCACCAAGGTACTGTTTGGGTTTATGGCAGTCTAACGGTAAGAAAAGTGTGGCAAAGTGAGGTAATCATGCTGCTATAGCTTTTTGCTTTTTTTCATATGGTATCAAGTTGGTCAGAATTAGCTTTCTCTGACTGGTCTGCTTCTGTGTTTCTCTGTGATGGTGTTAGGACTATGAAAGAAAAAGAAAGATTACCTAAGACTGCTATGAGCATTAACTATATGCCCTTAAGAATGAGCTTGACTTTGGAAGTATAGCTTTTCAGATCTTAGTCTACCCAGGGCCTTTGTTTATGCGTCTGTGGTTCTGTAGACCCCTGGCTTTCACTGTGTTCTCAGAGGTACACCAGATTGAGAACAGAGTTCTTCTTTGGAAGTCCCAGAGCAGAATCACTGCCATCAAGTGAGTTTGCATTCATATTTGTTTCCCCTTCCATCAAGGGTTAGTTTTAGTCATCTCTAGCTTGGAGTTCCTGAGAAGGCTGGTTATGGGACTGAGCGTGGGAAAGGAACCCTCTTCAGCATTACCTCAGTCCCATCAGTCTACTCCATTGTGACCTTGAGCCCCACACATGCTTGACACCAGACTAGACTTGTCACAGGGCCAGACCCAACAGCCACATGCCACAGCTTCACTGCATTTTCAGCTACACCTTTGGAGGCCACCTTCTCCTATCAACTGTGGAAAGCCAAAAGGGCTCCCTTCTCCATTCCCCTTCCCTTTTTCAAGTCTAATAGTGAAATCTCCTGCTTACCCCAGCAGTAAATAGAGCAGTAAATAGTTGCCTTCCTACCCCTTACCTGAGGGCGATAATTTGAGATACTTTGTTTTTTCAATACGTCAGTTGAAGGATTTAGTTTCTTAAAAGCAAGAAATGTTGGAGTGTTGAATTTCTATTTAGAATCTCTTTTCATGTTTGAATGATTGTTACTAGTTCTAGAAGCATTCTCACTGTCATGACCCAATTATGTATACTCTTGGGTTTAGGAAGGACAAAAGTGATGAAATTTGCATGAGATAGAATAAACATCTTAGGAGGAGTGAAAGAACCTGAGGAAGAGACATGACCCATAAGGGAATGAATGCATAAGCAGAGCCTTCTCAGTAGCCCAGAGTTTCCAGGAAACAGGAAGATTTATATCCCTTGCCCACTCTTAAAATACATAGATACATAGAAAGGCAGTCTCTGTAGACAACACATGCACACACCCACACAAAACAGAATTCCTGGGGCTTCCTTTTTCTGAATGTTAATCCATTTTATCGAGCAGTGATTCCCAAACTTTGAGATTTTCAGATTTTGTGCTCTCGTTTTTTAGATTTTATGACAGTCATTCTATCATCCTTAAAAATGTAGTATATGTGTTATATGTATATATAAGTTAAAGCGACTTGAAATTGACTTGGTTTGGCATTGTCTCAAGAATCCTAGATATCATTGATACCATGGGGAATCATAGAAATAAAGCTGAATATCACTGATCTGAGAGTAGGATCCAGAAATAAGTAGTTTCAGTTCCTGATCAGTTAAGCCTCAAGTTCTTGAGTAACCAACACAGCAAGACTTGGGAAATGCACAGAGCTCCCGTGGAAAAGAGAGCGGTAGTCTTTGCCTGCATTTCAGCATGCATTTTCATTTCCTACTCAGTTCTATCTTCCACTTAAATACCCTCATTTGACCCTAGGAAGTTTTTTGGTTTTTTTTTTAGTTTGAGACTTAAAACCAGATTTATTTGTTGTTGTAGAGAGATTTCCACAGAAGTTGTGTTTTACGGACCTCCATCATCTTTGTGGGGGTACAGATATTTATGTGTAAATATCATTTTATGTGATTTCCAAATTTTCAAGGGAAACATTTCAATTCCCAGTTCAACAAAAGGTATAAATACTAATTGACTCAATGACCACCTTCAGAAAAGTTAAATAGTAAATTAGGTTAAATTTTGACTGGTGCTTAGACATTTCCTAGTTATATTAACTTAAGCAGACAGCAGCACATTAACCTGAGTTACACCGGTGAGGAATTTACATTCTAAATTTGATTTTGTTTTTCATCTCCAGGGCCTTAATAAGCGTGTGTTAACACATGACTATTTTACAATGATAGCTCTAAATAATTTATTTTTTATTTCAAGAAAGAGAAATACACCTTAGAAAAACAAAACCCAAGATTTTATTTTATTTTTAAAGCATATTTTTGTGCTAGTAGCATTTAGATTGTTCCATATGTGAGATCCATATCTGCATTTCATTACCTGGGTTTGTTCTAAAGAAGATTTATTTTTGTTCTGTGAATAATTTTTGACGGTTCTTGTACATGTACAGATATAGATACATTTGAGGTCTTTTACTGATATTCCTACAAAGAATATAAATAAACTTTAACTTTAAACATTTCAGACTAAAGTTGCTACTATATTTGACATATTGCTGTCTTCTAGCATGCACCTGGGTGACTAGGACACTTGGAGAGAAACAAGAAAGGAAATGTATGCCAGAATATTATTCTGAAAATATATTTTAACATTAAGAACAGTCTGTCTTAGAATTTTCCAACTTCCATGTAGTAAGATTTCAATTTAGGAAAAATAACTAGCATTAACATGTATTGTGATAAAATTGTTACTTTCAAATTCTGGAGAATTTGAAATCTCTTTAATAACTTGTGACAGGTAAAGAAAGTTTCCTTTGGTTTATTAGGAAGTGTAGCCCCACTTAGCTTCCTAGACTGCTACCATCCTCTTGTAATTTTCCAGTTAGATTAATGGAGTTTGTTTTCAGGATTTTTGGTGTTTGGTTCAGGTTTTTTACTTTAAATTCTTAATAGAAGTTCATTTGTCATTCCCAAGATTATTGTTCCCAAATACACCCATCTTCTCCTGCATCCCTGTTTCATTCTGTAAAATCCAGGGATGCAGGTTTCACGTGTAGTCTTATTTTGTGTTAGTTGTAGTTCTATGCTTTTTGGCACATCTCGAGTTCTTCCTAATCTTGTTCTACTAGGGATTACAAAATTAAAATTTACTCAAAATCCAGAGAAGATTTCATGAAAGGGAAACTGCATATCCGTAGAACTGTGCTATTTTTTGTTCACTTCGAAGCTGACCCATTTCAGTCTGAATTGTTCGTGACCTAATGTAAGCTTTAAGACTTCCTGGATCTGAAACATCAAAAAGAGAGAAAGCGTTGATGCGGTCTTTTTACCTCATGGTCCTCTTAGCCATAAACTATCCATCCATATACGCTTTATGCATATCCATACCCCGTAATTGTTTTTAGCCTCCCTCCAGCTGCCTTTTTTTATTAGCATTTTACCAGTAGGAAAATACATAAATCAGTTTTGTTAGCAAAAAAAATATATATATATAATGACAGAGAACACTAAAACAGATGACTAAATTAGTGGTTTTCAATCCTGATTATTCATCAGAATCACTGGGGAGTTAAAAGAAAAGTAAATAAATAAATAAAAAACAGAGGAGTACCTCCTGAGCTCCACCATTGAACAATTAAATAGAACCTCTCTAAGGATTGGACCAGGCTAGGCTTTTTTTCTTTCTTTCTTTTTTCTTTTTAACCTTGCCAGAGGATTCCGAAGAGCCAGGGGGTAAGAACCACTAGTCCAAATCAAGCTGTGAGCACTGTGTGTAGGTGTCTGAAAATGTTTTCTGTCCCCAATCCTGAAACTAGGGTAAGCTGGTTACAGGTGTTTCCTTACCTTCTATTTGGAATTTAAAATTCTACTAAAACTGACAATATATACTCAGCCTTCCCCCACATACGCCTTGTCCCCACCAACCCGTCCTTTAAGTCTGTGATGTAGAAATTCTCTCCATTAACGTGGTCATCCCATTTATGGAATAGATACATTCTGACAAAGCTGACCAGAAGATGGAATTCCCTATTTTGACCTCAATTTCCCCGCTGGCTTCCATTTAAAGCAGAAGGTAGATGGCTTCTAGTTTGGTGTCAGAAGCTTCAATGAGTATACCCTTGAGGAGTGCTGAAGGACCCAGGCCAGAATCAAATATGCTACATTTGACTTTTAAAGAGTAAACAACAGGCCGGGCGCGGTGGCTCATGCCTGTAATCCCAGCACTTTAGGAGGCCAAGGCAGGCGGATCACGAGGTCAGGAGATCCTGGCTAACATGGTGAAACCCCGTCTTTACTAAAAATACAAAAAATTAGCCAGGTGTGGTGGCGGGCACCTGTAGTCCCAGCTGCTTAGGAGGCTGAGGCAGGAGGATGGCGTGAACCCGGGAGACGGAGCTTGTAGTGAGCCAAGATCGTACCACTGCACTCCAGCCTGGGCGACAGAGGGAGACTCCATCTCAAAAAAAAAAAAAGTAAACAACATAGAGAACTCAAAGTTCCTTTGTCTACCTTACCAACCCCTACCAAAAGAAAAAAGGTTCTTAACTTTTCTGACCTAATATTCAGCACTGAAGTCTTATTACTTGAAAGTTATCAGATGCTAAATTACACCATTCGTACTTGTTCTTTCAGTAGCAAAATGTACTGAAAGCTCTCCAGTCCCCCCTCCACTCCTGGCAAGCATGCAGTCATGTGCTCATGTGAATTTTCCAAAATCATGAGTATTTTGTAAGATTCAGTTGGTTCTATGAAATTACAATAAAGAGTATTGTATATTTTATTATAAATTGTAAATTGTGTGCTATACATTCTTTATATCAGTAAAATTTATAATAAACACATATACATTATATACTCACACACACATATTGCTGGTCTTTCTAGAAACTTGATTTTGTGAAATTCTAGAATGAATTGCCAGGGTGATATTTGTTTGGCCTATGAATAAATTGCAATGAACTAACAGATAAATGCCAATGTTTCCTTGT